TGTTGCTTCTGTTCTTTAGCAGGATTTATGATTTTTTTTTGTGTATACGTCCGTCGTATGATGGCTCTTTTTTTAATTAAGATTAAGATTAAATGCCAGCAGGTGGTTAAATCAGTAAAATGTTTTTAATCTGCATAAATCTCAAATTTAAGTGGATATACATACTGGGTGTTTAAAAAAAATACATCTGAAGCTAGCCATACCAACTTTAGTGAACGCTAGAGTAAAAGCAGCAGTAGTGTATTTACACATTTTGGGAATATATGTGTTAGAAAACAAAATGTATTAAGCATCACAACTAATACAAAATATTTTTGGACCTGAACTATTTCTCAGTTCCCAGTCATCATGAACCCCTGATGATTTAGAGAAAGCCAAAATTCCAGCCACTAGTATCAATAGAGAAACTGGCTGGTAGTGTTTTCATTTCTTTCCACTGGAGGCAACGTTTACCTAAAAACATAAACTCTCCTGTTGCTACAGCTGCAGATGGTAGAGCTGGAGTCTCTCTCTGGGAGGAATGAGGCCACTCGGTGTTTGGTATGACTGATGGGTCAAAACAACAATGTGAGGACCTCTCATGATCACACAACAACCAAGAGAGAAATCTCGTCTATTGCAAAATAAACCAACTTCTTGGGAAAGCTGAGTTGCTTTAGGTTACACATTTGCAGCGCTAAAGTAATTAAATCATCATTATTGCCACCACACAGTGAAAAGCAAAAAGAAATAGAAACAAATAAAGAGAAAGAGATAAATAAATATACTGTTTAGGGGCAATTCTGTAGAATAATACAGCCTATGGTGTGCAGCATTTTTTTAAGCTCATATGTTGTCTCCCTCTAGTGGTTATTTGGAGGACAACTAGAATATCCAGGAAATGCAGGTGTCAGTACTGGCCGTTGACGTTGACCACCTTCTGCACAATGTCTCTTTACAGATGTGTCCCACATTAACGAAGAAGCTTAATTACAACCTGTGACGGTATTGTCTAACATTGCTCTCAATGTAGCAGTACCTACCAATTAAGCCATATTGAGAAATGTGCCAGGTGTTCATATTTCTGTCTGTCTAAACAAAGATCAAAATGGAGGTTAAAGGTAGGGTAGGTAAGTTTGAGAAACCGGCTCGAGATCGCTAGAATTTGAAAATACACAACCGGAGAAAATCTGCCACTTCCTTATAGAGCCCCTCCTCCAACACACACGAACGCGCACATGACCAATGAGGGCACGAGATAAGTGTGTGCACAGATGGAAGGCTGACAGGCAGGTAGGCCATCCAGTTATTTTAGCCGGGCCGGCTAAAATGATTGGTCGTGCTTTTTACAGTACTACGGCTTCCACAGATTACATTTTTTTATGGATTTTTTGTCAAAGCACTTAAGATATTCATTGCTATCGGGATGTTAAGAGCATTCCATGGAATATAACAAAAAGTGTTTCTCGAGCCGGTTCCTCAAACTTACCTACCCTACCTTTAAGTGCAGACTGACTTATCAGACGTGTACTTGTGGCAGTCCTTCAGTCTTTGGTACTTGTTGTCACTTTAGCCAAATTATTTAAAATGAAAGTCACATTTCCCCCCCGAGTTGATAAAGGGGTTATTCAGATCACCCGATGCAGAGTGTGAGGACTGGTTCATCATTAAGAATCGAGAGCAGCTTGGAGAATATCCCCTGTTGGCCAATCAGAGGGAGATTGCATCTTTTCTTACCGCTCATTAGAAGAGAGGTAGACAATTGCACACCTCAGGCTCTCTGGTCCTTTCTTGACTTAATGCAAACGTCATTTCAGTTATAATTTCAGCTAGCTCCTAATGAGACTCTTTTTGCCATTGTACTTTTCTGGTTGAGGGTGATTTTGTGCACTTTTCCATTACCTCCATTCATACCAATTATCTTTGCTTGACTAACAATAACCTAACACTCCCAGGCTTTATTTGATTTATTGGTTAATTGTGGCCTTTTCCCCATTACCAAAGAGGAGTTTGCCAATCACTGAATAGGCTGTGTTTGTTATTAAAGAGGCATTTGATTATAATTGGAGAGGCCTTTCTTTAATCATTACCGCAACATACTTAAAGGTAGGGTAGGTAATTCACTTCAGAAACACTTTTTGTTATATTCCATGGAATGCTCTTAACATCCCGATAGCAATGAATAAATTAAATGCTTTGACAATAAATATATACAAATATTTCATCTGTGGAAGCCGTGGCGCTGTAAAAAGCACGACCAATCATCTGCCTCGGCCCGCGGCAGATGACTGGATGGCCTACCTGCCTGTCAGCCTTCCATCTGTGCACAAACTTATCTCGTGCCCTCATTGGTCATGTGCACGTTCGTGTGTGTTGGAGGAGGGGCTCTGTAAGGAAGTCTGAAGGAAGGGGCAGATTGTTTTCGGTTGTGTACTTGCAAATTCTAGCTTACTCGAGCTGGTTTCTCCATTCTTACCTACCCTACCTTTAAGTAAATTATTTTTTTCAAAAGAAAGTTGTATTCATGACATAACTGAACATGAACTATGAAACATGTCTCCTCTCCAACATATCATGCTTTTTTTTCATATATTCATGGCCTCCCCCCTGATGTCTCACTTTACAGTATAGCCATACATGGGATGTTGGAGTTTTGCAATGTGTTTTATTCTAATAAACTACCACTAAAGTTATACTGGTCTGGAAATTGTTTTATGTGTTTCCACAGAAAAGTATTCATACCCCTTAACTTTTTTCACATTTTGTTATGTTACAGCCTTATTTCTAAATGGATTAAATTCATTTTTGTTCTCAATATCCCACACACAATACCCCATAATGACAAAGTGAAAAAGTTTTTAAAGAATTTTTTGCAAATGTGTTAAAAATAATTAAATGAAATATCACATGCACATAAGTATTCACACCCTTTGCTATGACACTGAAAATTGCATCCCGTTTCCACTGATCATCCTTGAAATGTTTCTATTACTTGATTGGAGTCCACTTGTGGTAAATTAAATTGATTGGACATGACTTAGAAAAGAACACACCTGTCTATATGAGGTCCTACCGTTGACAGTGCACATCAGAGCACAAACCAAGTCATGAGGTCCAAGGAATTGACTGTAGACCTCAGAGACAGGATTGCATCAAGGCACAGATCTAGGGAAGGGTAAAGAAAAATGTCTGCAGCATTGAAGGTCCCAACGAGCACAGCAGTCTCCATTATTTGCAAATGGAAGATGTTTGAAACCACCAGGGCTCTTCCTAAAGCTGGCTGCCCAAACCAAACTGAGCATCGGGGGAGAAGGGCCTTGGTCAGAGAGGTGACCGAGAACCTGATGATCACTCTGATAGAGCTCCAGTGTTCCTCTGTGGAGATGGGAGAACCTTCTAGAAGGACAACCATCTGTGCAGCACTCCACCAATCAGGCCTGTATGGTAGAGTGGCCAGAAGGAAGCCAAAGGCACATGAAAGCCCCCATGGAGCACCTAGAGGACTCTCAGACCAGGAGAAACCAAATTGTCTGGTTTGATGAAACCAAAATGGATCTCTTTGGCCTGAATGCCAAGCATCATGTCTGGAGGAACCCAGGCACCGCTCATCACCTGGCCAACACCATCCCTACAGTGAAGCATGGCAGCATCATGCTGTGGGGAGGTTTTTCAGCTGCAGGAACTGGGAGACTAGTCAGGATCAAGGGAAAGATGAATGCAGCAATGTACAGGGAGATCCTTGATGAAAACCTGCTCCAGAGCGCTCTGGACCTCAGACTGGGGAAAAGGTTCACCTTTCAACAGGACAACGACCCTAAGCACACAGCCACGATAACAAAGGAGCGGCTTCAGGACAAGTCTGTGAATGTCCTTGAGTGGCCCAGCCAGAGCCCAGACTTTACCCCGATTGAACGTCTCTGGAGAGATCTGAAAATGGCTGTGCACCGACGCTCCCCATCCAACCTGATGGAGCTTGAGACAATCTGCAAAGAAGAATGGGAGAAACTGCCCAAAGATAGGTGTGCCAAGCTTGTAGCATCATACTCAAGAAGACTTGAGGCTGTAATTGCTGCCAAAGGTGCTTCAACAAAGTATTGAGTAAAGGGTGTGAATACTTATGTTTATGTGATATTTGAGTGTTTTATTTTTAATTCATTTACAAAAATATTTTAAAACTTGTTCCACTTGGTCATTATGGGGTATTGTGTCTCGAATGTTGAGAAAAAAATGAATTTAATCCATTTTGAAATATGGCTGTAACGTAACAAAATGTGGAAAAAGTGACGGGGTATGAATACTTTCCGGATGCACTGTAAATGGACACGACATTCCTAAAATCGCACATATAAAACTTTACACCTAAGTGATCATTTGCAGACCTTCAGCAGTTCTCCTCGTAAAAACGTAATAAGCCATACTTAGCAACAAAGGATCAGTAAAGTACCCCATGAATATTTGCTATACATATACCAAAGAATATAGATCCTAGAGTTAAAATATACTGATATATTTGTTCGAAAGAAATATGATTATTAGCACGGGATCATAGAAGTAGTTTGGACTCCATTGTTGTAAGTAGTAATTCTGCATAAAGCATGAAACATACATGTGTATACAATTGTATTTCTTTGAACCATTAATGATAAAACTCTCCACCAGGAGGTTAACATTCAGAGCACAAATCAGATTCAGACAACAGGCGGGTCAAATATAAGCTCTTAGTCATCTGGAGAATTGGTTTCGGCTCGAGAAACACTGGCCAATTTGCCTCTTCAAACAAGGACCAATCTGTGTCTTCAATATTGGTCTTTATCAAACACTTTCAACGGCTGCAATGTTGTGGTGATCGACCCCAATTATGTGGAGATGGACGTGTCAAGAGGCGGTCCTGGTACTTTATCAAAATAGCCCATTACTACACAACCAAAGCTATTTTTTCAGGCTTAGTCCAGACACTGGTCAGGGGAGTAATGATAGAATCAGGCCTACCTTGGAGGTTGGGCCTTGAAGTTGACTTTAAAGATGTCATCAATACCAAAGAGCCAACAAACGGTTTGTGGATTGTAGCCATGGCTGTCATACTGTGGTAAAGAGAGTAACCCATTAGTTTTTGAGCTTTAAACTGGCACATTGCAACACCCAAAATGTGTCAATACTACTGTGTGCAACCTTACCTTATGATCTTTGGGTTTAATCCACAGTCACTCCTCCATCTGTGAAGAGAGAAGACAAGAGTGTGAAAAATATGAAGATTTATTTTCAGATTTAGCCTCCCTTATATAACTGCAAGAGGATGTGATATTTCTCTTTTGTTATGGTTGCTCTTAAATGCACTCTGGACATCTAATTCTAGGCCTTAATCAATTCTGCACATTAAATCAAAAATGATAATCAAACTATTCACTAAAGACCTTTAATACAGCAGGTGCATTTCAATACGGTGAAGAAGGACAATAATAACCAAAGAGGCAATATTATTGTATAATAATATATAACAAAAATAGGAGACAATAAAAAGTGTTAAGAGATAAGACGAGATAAAAGAGTCACAGTTAGGCACTGCTAAATAAATATGTTTTAACTTTGTTAATGAGCACTAGCAACTGTTGTGGAACATCTAATTAAAATCATGTTCTTAAAAATAAATCAAATTAGTATTATGTAATGAAAAAGCTGTATTGTGTAAAACTCTGAGAAGGACTTGGGCTACATACCATACATAAAGATCTTGCCATATGGTTTTAAGAACATAGTGAAAAGATTATTTATTGTAAATCATTGTGTAACCTGAAATGTAAAAACAAACGGTATGCTTATACAGATATATATATGAGTAATAACTAGTCTACATGAGTTCAAAATATATTGATATATGTTTGTGATGCTAGATCTGAACGATTAGTCGATAAATCGATCGACCTACAATGAAGTGTCAGCAATGTTAAGGTTCAACCTCCAAAAAAAGTGCTAAACATTCACAGTCAGTAACACACGGTTATCTCTGCTTTGCACAATGTATGATTTTAACAATAACTTACCTATTAATCGATAAGGGAGATAGTGAGTAGTGGGAGCCCTGCTGTTCACCAACATGAGGATCAGGCTCATTATAATATCCCAGAGAAGGAGCTCTCCTCCCAGCCTCGGATCTCCGCCCCACTCTCAGTCATCTTGACTACAGCTCGGAGCCCGGATGCGCCGCCATGCCGACTCTATCAGCGAGCGGAATAATTTATTCACCAACCTGACCGACACTGGGCGAGTGGGAGTTCACCGAAGAAGTCGACAGGACACTTTGGAGGGCAGAGCAGGCTTATCCCGGACAGACTTGCAGGAGGACCGCCTCGTTGTGTTTACTGGCGTGTTCGCGTCGCCTGCCACGGTTGTGTTGATGTAGGACTCTTGGAGCTAGCTGCTAACGTTAGCATCAGAGAGTGCGCGGCAGTGACAGTCCGGCCGGAGGCGGGGAGCACCGAGAGGTGAGACTGTTACTTTGATTCTCTCTACACTGTTGACTGCACGCCATCTGGTAGATAGTGCCACTTTCTGCTATTTTAACCACGATTTCGGGAGGGGTTTAGACTGCAGCATATCGAGGTGGGTGCTTGACTGTGTGTGTAGTAAGGGCTGTTTGTTCGGAGTAGAGCTGCACGTTTAGTCGACGTTTCAGTCTCCTGGCCCAAGCTAGGAGCTAGCCTGCTAACCAGATAACTGTTCAACACTGGGACTCCTCAACTTTTCAGGTCAGTAACCCCCTGCTTAGACACAGCTTCACATGTCAGATAGCTAATCTAATAATGGCGTAGTACCAGAAACCCTGCATCTTAATATGGAGACATTTGTTATTATTGTGACATGATAGAAAATGACAGTGGAAAGTAGAGGGTCACCTGATCTGGTACATCCTCTTCTGTAAAACACATAATGATTGGCCAAGGCTTGCTCTTAAACTGACCCTCATGACTTTCAGGTCCTTGGACTTAAATTTGAGAATTTCAGAAGTATAATGTTGTAGTTTTGTCGATATAAGTGACTTTATAATGCAGTTAAGTGTGTGCCTCATAGACTGTATTTATGTGAATATAGCAATAAGGATGCACCTCACTGTACTTTAACCCTCAAACACGTTTTGTCATATCTTACGGACGGTTTATTCTATGACTTAGTCAACCAACCTCTTTTTAATAACTTACTAATAAATTACTTGTTTTAAAAATAAATCAATATTTTGATATGTATTGGGTTCCTCCAGCCTAAAGCACACAATTACAGCTTATGCAATTTAGATAAATACCATAAAATAGATTGATGCATTGTTTGCCATGTGTGTTAATTCAAAGTATTACACATTTGCTAATATGCTCCATTTTTGTTTTGTCAACACAGGCAAATCTAACCGTTACTTCACAAAAATAATACTTTTATTTTTGTTGTATCTCATATGATATTAACTACATAACTATTACTTTTTTGGGGAAATAATTTTTGATATCGTTTTTATCAAAATCACAATATGTACTAGTTCAATGTTTGTTAAGCATGTGTCTGAATACCATATTTACTCATTCTTTAGGGTCTCTTCTAAAGACTTCAGAAAATAATAAAATGATAAAGATCATAATAATTTAAATATATTTTCAATAAAGGTAAATCTTAATACATGATTATCCCCACAATATTGTGAATCATATTGCCATATATGTTAACATAATTATCGTTACATATTTTTTCAAACTTGTTCAGCTTAAATTAAAATTGTTATTTGTGTTTTCTGTGTCTTTCAGATCCAGAAGAAATTCCATGTCTGCACCAGCCCTGAAAACCAAAAGAGATGTCTGTTGATGAGGATACTGTAAAAACGGGCAGTCCACAGGCCAGCTCTACTTCAGCTCTGCAGCTCTCAGAATGTACTGGAGGTTACAGCAACATTTCTGTCATGGTGGAGGGTACCGCAGCCACTCCTGATTTTGCAGCTGCTTGTCCAGCCTCAGACACTGAAGCCTCAACAAAACACACCATCGTGACTGAAGCGCTCTCCCACTCTGACGATGCTGGACAGGGAGCGAGAGGAAACGAGAATAACATCAATCCCAGAAACAGCTTTCATCATTCCAAACAACCGCAACAAACAAAACTAACAAAGCGCCGCAACACAGCGACCTCTAGTTTCAAGCATCCGACATCTGGCAAGAGGAGACGGAGGGCCAACTCTGAGAGTGACTCCGTCCTGCCTACCAACTTCCTCCTGGGTGGGAACATTTTCGACCCACTGAATCTGAACAGCCTGCTTGATGAGGAGGTCAACAGGGCCCTGAATGCAGAGACGCCCAAATCTTCCCCGCTGCCTGCGAAGAGTAGAGATCCCGTGGAGATCCTCATCCCCAGAGACATCACAGATCCTCTGAACCTGAACAGCGGGCTAGCAGACGGCAGCGTTTTGGTGTCCCCCTTCAGGATTGGTGGCAGGAAGAGACACCGCAACAGACACCATGGAGGAGGAGGAGTTGGAGGTGTAGGAGCTGCTAGTGGGATTGCAACCACACAGGTTAACCTCTCAGAATCAGGAAAAAGTGAGGTTAAAACGGCCACCTCAGCCCCGCTGCCAGGTATGTTAGCCACATGTTCTGCACCAGATGTCTCCAAAGAGTCCAACAGTTTCTCTAGTGTCCCCGAGGATTCACATGAGCAGTCAGCTGACATCTCTGCCAGCAGCAAGGAGGAGATGACATCTGTATCTTTAGAGGATTGCACATCGGCCTTATCAGGGGCACCAAACCAGCACACTAGCAGACGCAAACGCAGGCGCAACTCTGGCAAAATGGAGGCCCCTGTGACTCATTCTACCCCCCTTGGAAAGTCAGGATCTGGAGACAGAAGTTGTGGAACGGGGGGCTCGAGAAATCCCCAATCCTTCCACACACCAAGGAGTGGGGCAAAACCAGGGCCAGGAGGTCGCCAGCACCAGCAGCCTCACAACCAGGCGAAGGAGCAACAAAAGAAGAAGTTCCAGTATGGGAACTACAACAAGTATTATGGCTACCGCAACCCAGGCGCCAGCGAAGACATCCGGGTACGGGTGCTTCGTCCAGAGTGGTTTGAAGGTAAAGAGGTTCTGGATTTGGGTTGCAACTCAGGCCATCTTACACTCTATATTGCCAAAATGCTAAGACCTGCCCGAATATTGGGCGTGGACATTGACAATGGACTGGTACATGCAGCCCGGAAGAACATCAGACATTATCTGTCTGAGATGCAGACCCAAGAGGCCAGGCATGCAACGCAGGAGAAAAAGAGCACTAAGCAGGAGGAGAGGAATGGGAAAGAGAGTCTCACAGGCTCTGAGAAGAAGCACAATGAAGCTGAAGGCAGGGAGGAAAACGGGAAGCCAGCGAAAGGACAAAGTGGCCCTGCAGAGGCTGCAAGTGACAATGACTCCTGTCGCACAGATGAGGCAGGGACCCAGAGGCAGGACGGCAAAACAGAGGAAATGGACCAGGAAGATTGTGATCCGTCCCCCGCTGATCACTCGGTGAGCTGCTCTTTCCCCGTGTCCCTGCGGATCACCAGGGGGCCCATCGCTGCACCTCCTCTGACAGAATCCTCCACCACCCGGCCCGGGGAGTTCCCCTCAAATGTGTCCTTTGTCAAGGTGAGTCACATGGGAACCTTTTTGCATTTTGGGAGTTTAGATGAAGGTCAAATTAACATCCGGTATTTCAGATTGAGGCACTGCTCGCGATATGTCTGCATCATGATGGCAGCATGATGTCAAAAAGCTTGCCCTAGTCCATTGTAAAATATCTTAAAACACACCCAAATAATTAATTAGGAGATGTTGAACCTGAGGATAATGGTCTTGCCTCTAGACAACGGTTAGCATTGTCACAGCACATTATAGCATGCAGATGTCACCACATAGCTTTTCTGTACAAGATGCACATTAACATACCAGAAAAATGAATAGCAGTTTTGGATGTTAAATATGTAATTTTGTAAATGAGTATACATTCATATTCAAAGTGAGTGAACATGTATGTGTCTTCTTACAGAGTATTAGAGACTTTCTTTTTAAAATTATTTTCGTAAGGCCTCAAGAGGTAAGTAAATAAAACACTTGCAGTGGATCTTTATGGATATTGGTCTAAGTTTGCATAAATGGATGCCTTGTTGGAAAGTTTCCACAACTTTGGGAGTTTAGTTTTCTTTTGTGAATGAATGCAAACTTTGACCAACAAGTAATTACCTTTTTAAAGACTGTTTGTTTTCTTGTTTACAAAATGCTACTCTTCTCCCAGTCGGCAGGAAACAGGGTTCTCCCCTCTTTTAAAAAACAGTTATGTTAGCCATAATCTTTTATAGTTGGATCGTTTTATAAGGAAGCATCTGCCTCACATAGTTTCTCTGAATCACTTCAGTAAGATGGAGTATTAAGGGAATTAATTACCACTGGTTTGCACTTGTGTTTTTGTTTGTGTTGCACAGCTTTGTGTGTGTTTCATACAAGAGGCTCACTATTCCCTGAAGCTGCCAGTGATTTTGAGAACTGAAAGCAGGAAAGAGGAATCAGACTGTCTTCTTACCTTTTCCAAATGGCATTGGCATATCAGTCCATCCCTTGTTGGAGAATGTGACAAATGTTACCATAGCTTTTCTCTTTTAAATATGTTATTGTTCTAATCAAGCTTTCTTCAAGCCGGCGGCCTTGTGCCTGGGAGGTTTTTGCGTAGGCAGTAACATGAATAGGTTAGATGCAGAACCCGTGGTGTTTCTGAATGAAATCGATAAGTGCCTCCTCCCTGCTACGAGGCATTAGTGATAATGGCAGTGCAGCAGCACAGAGCTTATCCTGTAAGAATGAGTGGAAAGCCTCAAGACGAGCCCCTGAGTCCCCCCCCTCCCCTCAAGTCGGGAGCACTTTGAGGTAGCATATTCTAATTAAAAACAGCAGGTGTTTTTTTTACCTCTTAAAGCTAAATTCTCATCGAAGTTATTAAAAAAGGTTATTTCAGTGACTTGGAGTTAAGAATATCTCAGCCCTTTAAACATGACTTCAATGTGTGATAAACCAAACCCCAGCTATTATTTTTCTGTTGTCTCCTGTGAAAAAGGAGTATTGTGATCACTTTCTAGTTGTCTTCTGTTTAAATGGTGATCCAGATCAAATCCTTTTCTGGGCTTCTCCGCACACAAGCTTTCATATTATTCTTGCACCATTTGTAAG